CCCCAAAACCCCAAAACCCCAAAACCCCATGATAATGTAAAATAGTAAAACTTAAGAAATAAATAATTGAGTTATTAAATATCAATATTTGGATAATTCTTCCATAGAGATTCCATATTTTTTGCTGGCAGTGTACTACAAAGATTGTAGCTTCTTAGAGCACATCTCTCTGATTTTCTCTAATTCGTAAATCGGGATTCTTAAGAAATTTTTAGTTGAAATGAAGAGACAAGTGACTTCCTTTTTATCAGCTATGATATCCCCAAAGTAATTTATGCTCTAAATAAAAGTTTAATAAAAAATTCTTATTTTTACTGGGACTTTTAGTTCATGTGATTCCCCAAAGAAATCTCCTCTTTAAATTGTGCTTATTTAGTAGTTATCATAAGGGTTAACTATCAAGCATTTCCCAGTATCAATTACATAAACACCATCTGTTTCAAGTTCCTTTATATCATTGATCAAGTGACTGTATTCTCCCACATTATCTACTGTTGTCTTTAATAGATTCAGCTCTTTTCGTTCGTTTTTGACATGTTCAGGAGTTTTAAATTCAGCTACCTCTTCGTTATTATGCCTCGGCTCTTCCTGCGATATTATATCTTCCTCTTCATCTTATAGCTTTTTACGCTCTCTATTAATTAGATTTATATCATATAAGTTACTTTTCCTAAGCTAATTCATTCATCTTCTGCTAGTATCCTTTAGGATCTCTGTACTTATCTCTATCGTTTTAGGCTTAATTTATTTTGACATTTAATTATTGCATCATTATTTAAAATCCAGAGACTTTTTAATCATCATCCTAGCTCATAATCCTATCTTTTTATTCATTCATAGCTATCTGTAACGAAGTCATCTTGTTTTCAAAGAACTCCTTATAGAAAAAGTTAAGAATTGATCTTTTTGACTGCTTCATTATCATTTCACCTGGCTAAAACTTTTTCACTTTTACAAATTCATAAGCTAGCATGTAAATAGTTTAATCTGATAGTAGTCCAAAAAACTAATGTGTTTTCAATATTTTCACAAGTAAAGCATTATTGTTATGCTAATGTTAACTCCAAATGAACTAAAACTTAAGTTACATAGAATTTTACATCGAATTATTGAGGGTGAAAAAATGCAACCTCTGTGGGATGTTTAACTATCCCCCAAGTTTCAACTTTTCTGGATAGGCCATTATCTGACTTCTCATAGCCTAATATATCCCCCTACTCAAATTTGGCAAGTAGTTTTGGAGGTAATATATTTTCACTGTGAGATTTTAAATGAACTACTCCCTCAAGAATTACAGCTACAGCATCTTCAATAAAGATGATTTCATCAGTTTTATACTTTTTAACACTCATATGTTTCAAAAAGGATTTCTATATATCATTATTGATTTTAAAATAAGAGTTACTATCTAAAGTCGATTAAATCTTTTGAAAAAAGATCTGTCCTTGATCTTAGTCACAACTAAGTCTACTTTATCTGTCTTCCATCCATCACCGTCAACAAAATATAGACAGATCGGATCAGTAATTGTATTTCTTGGCTAATAGAAATCCATCAAATTTTCAAAGTTCTCAACATAATCTGTAGTAAGCCTTCTATCATTTTAAAATGGCAGGAGAATTATTCCAAATACATATTTAACAATTTCTTGATTCTCAGTTCTCATTATAATATCATGCAACTCCTTATATGTATCCAAGCAATCTTAGTATCTTCTTAATTTCTTTAAGCAGACCGCCTTCATGTAAACATAAGCATTTTTCTATTGCTGTTTCATGTCTGATAGCTTATCAATGGCTTAATCGATGAAGCCTAAAGCTTTATCGTATTGAGTGAGCTTAAATGAACTTAAACAAGCACCATAATAGGCATCTGACCAGTCAGGTTTGATCTAAATTAGATTTTCAAAATGTCTCTGAGCAGCTGAATGTTTACCTATTCTTTCATAGCAGCAAGCTAAATTGAAAATTGAAGGATAATGCTTATTATTCTAATAGATTTAGCTCTTAAAAATTAATTACAAGTTTAAGTGCTTATTTGTAGCATTCAACAGCTGTTTGCATTTAATTCTTTTAGCCAGTTGTTATCCCTTTGTGATACCAAAAGTCAGAGTCTAATAGTTGGATTAAGATAGAAAATTTACCCCTGAAAACTTTAGCTCTATCTTGGGATGCAGAAGAAATTTAATTAGTTTTATTAAAGTCTGTTTGCATTCTATTTGACTATTCAGAAGTTTGCTTGTAATCAAGGGGAGCCAATTCCCTCTATATATCATAATCTACCTCATCATCTTCTTGTGAAGAATTATCAACAGGAATATCGTCTAATGCTCCAGATCTTAGGTCACTACCTCCATACATACTATAAGAAATCAGATATTTATGTTAAAATACACTTAAAAACTGTCTCTACCAGAATGTAGCTTTTGTTTAGAAAATATAGACCTCTGTGATTCAACTTGCTAGTCTTTGCTCATAATTTTATCCTTAATATAATGATTAAAGGCTGAACTTTAGCGTATTGTCTCTTAAAAATCTGAAAAAGCCTTCTCTCTCATTTCCTATATATTGATCAATTATACAATAGGAATTACCTTGATTCTATTGATATGATTAGATCCTCGAAGACCTCCTAAACTCCTAATATTAGTTCTTGAAGCTCTCTGTGAGCTTATTCTTGATATATCTCTGCTACTTCCATTTTAATCAACAATAACATCACCACTTAAGTTAAACTTATTCTTGATTTTAGTTAATAGCTGCGAGTCTCTGTAGAGTAAATTACTTTGATAGGGATTTTCAATTTTTATTTCTTCTTTTTTCTATTATTAATCATCCTTGACAAATACACTGCCACTTGAATTATTAAGATTGATTTTCATATTTCCAAGTCTTTAGTTCTAAGAGGTGAAAAGCCTCTTTTAATTTGTAACAGTTCCTCCAAACGATAAAGTTCGATTATTCATTAAAGTTGGATAATCATTAATAGATAGTCTAGATGCATCATTTTGGTTTTTTATATTTAACTAACTTTTATCTTTGAAGGACTTTTCAAAAGATTGGTGAATAACTATAGACTCTTCAAGTTCATCTCTACTAACAACCCCGTCTAATTTACCTACCAGTCTTTGAATCAAAGCTCTCTTTTATAGAGTAAGCTATGATGAAAAAACGATAGGGCTTTTAGCACGATCATGAAGAGTACTCTACCCAGATTTTATGTTGAAATTACTACTATCTTTAGTTTGATTTTGATAATAGTTGAATGAATCATTAATTTAACTTTTAAAGTCTTTTGAAATTTGCTTGAATTCCTATTCAATAAACTCTGATTTAACTTTCTCATTTATATTATAAACGATTGGCTGAATTTAGGTGAAACTCTCATTAATAGATGGCTAATTTTTTCTCTAAGAAAGCATGTTTTTAATCTTTTTGCCTTTATTAGTTGGAGAATTTTCAAGACTATCCAAAGGATTTACAGGTTTATTGTTATTATAATTGTTTGCTCTTTTACTACGACTTGCAGTAGATTTAGTGGTTGTGGCACCTGTTATCTATTTGGTACCATATTTTTTAAGTTGATCAAAGACGCTTTACTAATTTAATTAGTAATGAAAAGTTAAATTACTTACAGGGACATGATAAGGTTTTATTTAAGGAATGTTATCAAGAGAGAGTCCAAAATTCTTAGCCAACCAATCGTCGAGGCCTCTGTTTGTAACAACAAGTCTTTAGTCACTATGCAGAGGATTTACATTTAAATTTTTCATGTTAATTGAGTTCCCTTTGCTATCTTTAATTTTACGTTTAGGGAGTGGATTATCTGTCTCTGAATCTCGTGGTGTCGAAGGAACAGTGTTTTCACAAAATTAGTGATGCTTGCATTCATGCTAATAGAATTATAATATATGATAAGTACCAGAGAATGATTTAGAACCGACTTATGTCTCTGAAATCTTTAAGAGAGGTAGTCATTATTATTACCGCTAAGGCTCCCATTCATAGAGCTTTTAAGATTATGAAAGGATAGCATATTACTGCTCATTTTAAGAATTCGTTTATTTTAATTGATTTATTGTTTTGATATTATAGATTCAATTTTATAAAAATTGAAATTGTACGGGGTTTTGGGGTTTTGGGGTTTTGGGG